AGTCAACACTATTACCATCATAATCTTACAGGACTATATATTTGGTCAACTGTTTCCAATTGCCTAGTCATCATTATCTTTATCAGAGGCTCAGTCACTCATTTGGAAATGCAAGAAACAATAATCTTGTAAAGAAATTTGTAAAATAGGCAGAATATAAGTAATACAAGTAGTAATATTAATAAGGTCATAAGTAAGTATTTTAGCTAAGAACTTCCCTTAGATGTAGCTGGTATCCCCCCAGGTCATCTGACCAGTCTGTTCTGCACCAGTCAACATCTTTAAAGGAAATGATATACTGACATTTAAATAACAAGTTCACCAAAGATGTCTGCATATACAAAGCAAGTGGTGGGTCACTGTGACCCTTTACAGGATTGAGAAAAGAAAGATGCCTTTTAAGGAGTTACGTGACTGGTGTCACAAGGAGAAAAATGGATCTTTCTGGTTGAGCAGGTATTTCTGCCACTGTCAAGGTCTAGTTAACATGCAATGCAGCTGTACAAAGTGTGCTAGAGAGAAGAGAAGAAGCCAAAGGGCAGGGAAAATTTTGTTTAAATTTTTCTTATCTTGCTTTTAAAGCATGAATTTTTAGAATTTTTTATTTTACTTGTTTTTTAAGTGTGAATTTTTATTTCATCCATCAGATCGCTTGGTTAAAATGGTGCTCAGGCTCCCACAATCTTAACTACCCTGCAATTCTGCCTCTGGCCTGGAAAGTTCTTTCAATTTTTCAAACATCATTAAAAAGAGAGAGAGAGACTAACTCTCTCAGCAGAGCAACTGTGGGGAGACATTAAGCCTGGAAACTATTTTAGGATGAAAATTCTCAATGTCCTGGATCACACCCTCATTCTCTACCTCTGCCTTTTTCATTCAAGATACCCTCACTGAAGGCCCAAGTGGTGGCTGGCGTGCTTCAAGAGTGAATACTCCTTCACACCTATATTTCTTTCAATTGCTGGTCCCTTTACCTAGGAAGCCCTAGCTCATAGCTACCTTCTTTCCGACCTGCAGGACTTCTGCTCATCTCTTAAGGCCGCCACACTGCAGAGTCCCAGGGGTCTGGGCTTGTCATGTTCCACGACAAGCCTGGTGCCCCCTGGAGCTGTGCAAGCCTGTGCTCTTGTTCTGGAGACACATATCCCCACCCCCAGCCTCAGCTCACACAGCACATGGACTGACTAGTGCTTGTTTAGCTGTAGGTCTGTCTGCTCGAATCAGAAGGTGAGCCCAGGCTTGTTCACCTCTCAGGGCCCCATATCCAGTATGCACTCAACAGGAATTCCGCAGTGACCACCGGGGCGCACCCTCTTCACCCCGACCAACATCAGTAGCACAGAATCTCACTCTTTATATTCTGGTGGTGACAAGGTCTATGCTTCCACCTTTGTATTCCTTGGGAGCATCACAAAGTTCTGGCAATAAAATTCCAGAGTCTGCAGGTCCCACAGGAAGGCCTTTCTTTATAAGAACAGCAGGTGACAGATTTGTGAGGTTGAAATGGAGGCTCTCACCTCTGAGAAAAGGGATAGGGTCTGGGTGGATAGGGTCTGGATAAAACTATATGCCAAGATACCTACTCCGAAACAAGCTGGAGAGCCTGCAGACTGACTTAGGGGCAGAAGCCCAGCCTGTGATGTGAGGCGAGCGCAACGGAGGGAGCTGCAGAGGGAAGGGTTCCAGGAGCTAAACCAGGAAGTGAGCTGGGGTCTGATCCCCTCTCGCAGGTCACTGTTAATAACACAGGGCTTCCCGAGTGACTCATGGTAAAGAATCCACCTGCCAATGCAGGAGACGCAGTTTTAATCCCTGGGTGGGGAAGAGCCCCTGGAGGAGGAAATAGCAGAGAAGCCCGGCAGCCTACAGTCCATAGGGTCACAAAGAGTCAGAAAGAACTGAGCGACTGAGTACGCATGCAGGTTAACAACGTAAGGGAAGCAGCCAGTCGGATTTTTCTGCTGTAGAGACACCAAGGTCTCCTCCCATAGCCTGGAACACTGCCTAGCCCCCTCCAGCTGCCAGCTGGTTGAGACTTTGGATGGTCTGGACCCAGGTAATGAACAGGGACCTCTGACTTCTTGCACCTGTGAGGGCCTGTTCCCGGGTCATTCTCAATCCTCTTTGGGCTTCTCATCTACACATATTGAGAATGACAGATGCCAAGTGCAGATTGAGGTTTTCGCTTTTTTGTTTGTGTTCCAACTCCAAGCCCATTACCACACTAGCCTTGGACCCCAGAGGGCGCTGCACCACTCTCAGGAGGTACCACACTTGGTTAAATAGGATTACAGGTCACTATGAAATAATACCTACTGATTTAACCAAAGTGACAATAAAAGATTTCAAAAGCAGATAAAAAAATTTTTAATAACTTAAAAGCTTGAAAAGAAACTTACAATCTGTTAGCAACAGCAGCTCAACAGTTAAAAAAAAACTGTTCTCTTTTTTTTTTTTTTTAACTGTTCTCTTAATAGAGAAACCAAACTCAGGCTTTGCACCATCTTACCTTTAATATTAAAATTCATTGACTCAATTAAACTAATTCTAATCTTAGTTAGTCTTGACTACACATAGAATTTCTTTTTAAGAACCTTCCCTCTTGCAAAGCTTCCACAACTTTCTATACCCATATTAATCTGTCCCTTATTTTCTTTCCCATTTAGAAATAACCAGCTTTAGGACTAAATTTCTTTCTTTCTCTTAAGAAAATGCATTTTCATTTCTTATACCTTCTTTTCCTTGCACACAGAGATGTTTTCCTTATTAAATTTTATTTTTAATTTCATATATTAGAATTCTCAACTCTTAAAAAACTTAATTTCTAGTGAAAACTAAAGAAATAAGCAATTGTGAACTGTCTTTTACATTACCACTCTGTAGACTGGCAAACTTGTAAATTAGTCAATAAACATATTGTTTAACTTAACAAAATTCTAAAGTTTCAAGGTACCAAATATCTGAAGAAACTGTTTTCAAGTAGAGAGCCATAAAACATAACTATTCCTAAAGAGTTCTCCTTAAAAAAAACTCATCTCATTTACATTTAATTTACTTTAAAAAAATTTCTTCAAAAAAAGAATTTCATCTTATCAAGTTATTTTTCTTGCTGACCAATTTTGCAGATCTTATTTGACTTCCAGTAAGCCTAGGTACTATAAAAAATTTATGTCGATGGCTCCAAGGACATGTCTGATTAAACCAGCAAAAATTAACCTAAATGCCAAAGTTAATTTAATACTGAATATTTCCCAGCTCACATAAACCTGAAATTTCTTTGATTTCTTTTATATTTCTGAGAATTTATGTAATGCTTAATTCCTTTTAAGCCAATTAAATAGAGCTCATTAATTTTGTTAATAAGGTCTGTAAATAGAGATACATCATATGTATAAGGTACACACAGACATATAGACAGACACAACTAGAGATCTCATAGCTTCATTTTAACTTAGTTGTGAATCAGGTATTACAATATAAAACTCACTAGTTTATAACTAACAGTTTTGTTTATAGCTAACAGTCGGAGTAAGTAAAGTTTAAAAAGGCCTCCCCCTAACCCCATTTTTCCTGTCAGTTTCAGGAACTGGAGATGTCTAGATGAGACAGGAGTTCCTGAGGGCCCTGGTAGAATATTCACATCTCAAGGCACAGGGAGAGAAAAGCAAGTTCCTCCTAGAACTTGTTCCCTTAGGGTCAGAATTCCGAAAACATGTTTTATCAAGCTGGCACAATTAGTTCTGAACTGTCAAATGAGCCCAACCTCGGACATTTTTCTCCAGAGTCTAAATAATATTGTAGTCACACATTGTTACCAATAATAATAATAATTTTGGCTTTAGTCATGGAATCAGAACAAAAAGCTGGTCCAGTTTTGCAGGATGCGTCCTAAAGGGCTGTTTTTAGGTACTGAATTTATGTTTGCCACGTCCATCAATTAAAATAATGCACCTTCTCTAACACAAATACACACACACACAAAGATAAACAATAAACCAATTCCAAAAGGCTCAAAGCCCAATCAGTTCCAAAAGGCTCACTTTGATACAACAGCATAAAAGCCTATACACAAAGAAATTCAAGCCATTTTCCTTCCCTTTTACAAAACAGTTCCAGTTGGTGGTCCCTTCCTGGTGGTCAAAAACTGTTACTGAATCAAGCTCAGGTCTGCTCACTCAACAGGCAGCAAGGCCAATATACCTATGCCAGGCTGTGGTGAAAGAAAGTACGGGGTTTGTCTGCAGGGCACTCAGCAAGGAAGTGGGGGACAAGCCTCAGATCAATTCCACTTGGTCTTTGCGGGAGGCAGGGGGGTTATAAAGCAGAACAACAAAGAGGCTGGGAATAATCATCATCTTGGGACTTTTTCTGTGACATTTTTTAACCTTTCTTTAAGTTGACGTGTAGCCAATTTACAATGTGTTAGTTTCAGGTATAAAGATGATTCAGTTATACAAATATGTGTATATGTATGTGTGTGTTTATACATATATATATATTCTTTTTCAGATTCTTTTCCATTATAGGTTACTACAAGATATTGAATATAGTTCCCTGTACTTTCCGTGACATTCAGGTTCTGAGAGTCAGGATGTCTCTGAGAGTCAGCACCACCTCTGGCCAGGTGGTCCAGGACTCAGGGGTCTGTTAACTTATCTTGCCCTGGAGAAACCACCTGAGTGTATACATTAACGATATCAATAACAGCAATTCTAGTACATTAACAATGTTATTCACAACAGCAACCACAGTACATTAACAATGTTCTCAACAGCAGCAATTTTAGTCATCTGACCCTGGCTGATGAGTGTTCAGTTAGCACTGGGCTGAATTCAGAGGGGAAAAGAAAGGGAATAAATCATTAATCATAAACTCAAAAGGAACGTAGGTTTAGAAAGACTCTGATTCAATAGGATGGGAGGCCGGAAGGGCTTGAGGGGCTCTGGCAGGGTGAAGCCACGAGGAACTCCAGGCCCCCTCCCCCGCCCCTCCCCGCCCAGGAGGGGAAGCTCTTCCCAGCCTCTCCGGGAGCGAGGAGGGCTCCCAGCGTCTTTCAGAGAGTCCCAGGGGAGAGGCGGGCTGAGGCGCAGCACTGGGAACAAAGACCCAAGGAAGGGTCCGGCGGAGCGCAGCTCCCCGGGGGCCGGGGCGAGGGCCGCCCACCCGTCTGCTCCTCCCTCTCCTCCCTCGCTTCCACCCGGAGGCCCGTCGCGCAGCCAGAGCTGCGCCAACTTCGCCAACGTTTCCCAAGTTGCTGGGGCGCAGGGGTGGGAGCTGGGTGGGGTGAGGAAGAAGAGGAGGAGGAGGAGCAGGGCTCCCCAGGCGCCTTGGACGCGGTTCAGGAATCTGCCGCCGCTGCCGGCCGCTCGCCGACTCCGGCCGAGCGGGGAGGGAGCCAGGCAGGACCGCTTGCTCGCTGCGCAGGACGGCGCCCGCCTGGCGCCGCTTTCCGCCCGGCGTGCGAACCGGCGGGGCCGCGCCTCCTTTCCTCCCCGCTGCTGTCCCCCCGGGGGCGGCGCGCCGAGCCGGGGCCACGAGGGCACTGGAGGCCCAGAGCCGCTTCTGCCTGGTCCTGCCGGGAGGAGGGCAAAGTTGCGGGCGGATGCTGCCGGCGCCGGACCCTAGCCTCGGAGAATCGGATCCGCCCCCGCTGGAGGAGGCTCCGTGGCGGGGTAAGTAGGGCGACCGCCGGGGCTCGGGAGAGGTGGCCCAGTGGTGCACAGCCCCACCATCCCTGATCGGGCGCGCGCGCCAAACTTTGGAAGAAGAGGGGAAGAAAGCGAAGGTGGGAGAGGGAGCTCTTGGCTCGGGGCAAGTTCCACGCAGGCACCCACACCTCCAGACCCACTGCACCCAGATTCACAACTGCCTGATACGCACAGCTCATCACCCATCGAGCCACAGGCAACGCACGCACGCCACACCGACCGCTTCAGCCCGACTGTACAATTCTGGGAGTGTGAACGTTTGGATCTTTTACACCAAGCATGTCCTCCAGCCCTCAAGTAAATTCACTGTCTTTGTCTGCTGCCCCACAGTGAGGCGTCCCCAAAGCAAGACTGGCCAGGCGAGGGGCTGCCGTGGCTTTGAAAAGTCGTGGCCCGGACCTCGAGGCTGACTGCGGAGTGGGGAGGAGAAATCAGGCAGTGCAGTCGGCTCTCCGGGTTCGTCAGGAGTGAGTTTGGTGTGGAAACTCGGTGTCTGGGTGATGTGTCTGGGTGTGCGCCGTCCTTCCGGAGGCGAGGCCGGGAGAAAGGAGGGAGTGATTCATAAACTCAGACCCGCCAGTGTTAGGGTCTGTGGGCAGAAAAGACTGGCAGGCGGTCATGCCCTGGACAGTTGGCTGGTGGCAGTGACAGGGCCTGAGAGGGAAGCACAGACCCTTCCCCCGAGCGGATGTGCTTCCTCAGAGCGACTTCCAGGCAATGGGCTGAGGAGATTCTGGCCGCGTGTGTGTAAAACGTGGTAGGGGATGTTTAAGACTCAGTTCACGGAGAAAGCATGGCGCTCCTGAAGTCTTATGTATTTTCACGGCACCTGAAGTTGTATCTGATTTTGGATTCCCTGGTGTCCTGGGACTCCAGGATGTTTCAAGGGTTGTCCTGGATCTAGTACAGTGCCAAGCACATCACTGGTACTCAGTAAATAGTTGTCTGTCGAACAATGACACCCATAAATTATATTTGTTAGGGTCATTCTATGAGCCAAGCCAGGTGGCCTCAGCTGGGTTGGAAGTGGTTTTCTGCAGAGGACGGGGTTCTGAGTGGTTCCAGGGAGCCCTGCGTGATCCATTCAGCCCAAGCAGCACATTGCATTGTGCCCTGTGGGCTGGCACTAGGGACTTGAGTTTCAACATTGCCCTCTGCTTCCCTAAGAGGGGCAGTAAGAAAGGCTCCATGTCTGCATCTGGCTAGGCTGGGAGTGTCGTGGGATCTTCTTCCTGGCTCCTGCTGGCCTGGAAGGAGATGAGTTCTCATGAAGGGTCCCGGAGCTGGATCCTGCAGCACTGGCCTGGTTCTGTGGTGGCAGCAGGTGGAGGGGTGGTCATAGCCCCTGTACTGAGTATTGGGCGGGTTCCTCTGCACCAGCTGGCATGAGCTTCCCAGAGGAGTGGAAACATCTCATGTTCCCGGAACTGGGATTGCGAGCAGTCTTGGGACTGATTCCCTACTGGCATGGAATTGGGAACATGCAAGGATGTGGTGGCGACTTGGCCATGTAATCACAAGGAAATGTGTCATTCCCCACCCCCACCCTCACCCCTTTGTCCCTAGGTTTGGTGTACATTTCAAGCATCTAAATGGTCTTAATGCTGAAATTAGCAAAGTGTGTAGGCAGCACCCAGGAATGTGGTCCCAGACGAGTGAGTGATCTGGGCTTGGCCACCCCCAATTTCAGGTGGAACACTGCAGCCAGTCCCGTCCCAGTATCACCTTTCCACCTTAATTATGTCTTCTGTGAATCACAAGCTCTACATTACCTCAGTAAGACTTTACATCCCAATAAACAGCATTTTATCACCATTTTCAGATTACGAAACTGAGGTTCAGAAAAGTTAAGTAACGTTTTGGGGGTCACACAGCTGGTGAGGGAACAAAGCCAGGATTTGAAACTGGACAGTCTGACTCAGGAACCCATGCTGTTTCCACCGCACCCAGCTGCCTCTAAGGTCCCTAACTGGTTCTCCATAGCAACAGGGAAGCAACACTGATGCACTTACTGGGTCCTGGGGCCCCTGCCTAGAGTCTTTGTTTTATACACACTCTGCCCAACCTGGCTTATACCATGGGTCATGGAAATCAAAGGCTAGGTGGCACCAGGCTGCCAGAGCCTTCCATATGCGTCTGGAGTCAGGAAACAGTGGGGGCCTGGGAGTGACTGTGGGGGAGATATGGGGGTAATTCCAGTGAGAGATGATTCATTGCTTATCTGAGAAGTGGGGACAAAGCTACCACTGTGACCATACAAGTCACAAGTTTGGTAGAAATTGTCAGGTAAACATCATCAAATGGATTACTATGTTCTTTCCCCCTTCTGGTCTTTTCCTATTACACAGGAAAATCGGCCTTCACCTGAATATCCAGGGGCAGGTCCTTCTCCCCTCCCCCACACACACCCCCAAGAGAGCTACACTCCGTGGCACTGTCTGGTCCTCAGGAGAGATGAATAGGCAGAGCTGAGACAGCCGGGGCTGTGATAACCACATGGCTCATCTGGTCCCCAGCTTATGCTTTCTCACACAAGCCCCACAGAGGGACAGCAGTTATCGTTCCACTTTGCAGATGAGGAGATGAGGCTCAGAGAGGTGCAATGGCTGCCTGAGGTCACAAACCTAAGAAGGAAGTGCAAGTTGAGAGTCCCTTGGACAGCAAGGAGATCAAACTAATCCATCTTAAAGGAAATCAGTCCTGAATATTCATTGGAAGGACTGATGCTGAAGCTCCAATACTTTGGCCACCTGATGCGAAGAACCAACTCATTGGAAAAGACCCTACTGCCAGGAAAGATTGAAGGCAAAGGAGAAGAGGGCATCAGGGGATGAGGTCGTTAGATAGCATCACCAACTCAATGAACATGAATCTGAACAAACTCCAGAAGATAGTGAAGGACAGGCAAGCCTGGCATGCTGCAGTTCATGGGGTCACAAAGAGTCGGACATGACTTAGCGACTAAACAACAACAGATGTGAGTTATGCTGCCTTCAGGAGTCCCTTCCAGGCACTTAGCAACAGCTGTGTTCTCTGCCTGGTTGGTACTCTATCTCCCTAGCCCCAGGGCTGAGAGGGGGGTACCCCTGCTGGGGCAGAGTCACCACAGCTCTGCCCACCCCCATCTCTACCCCCAGTGCCTCTGATACAGGTGTTCATGGTATGGGGAAAGCTGGCAACCTTAAACAAGAAGCAGAGGATAAGCACAGCCCAGCTGGCCTTGCCCACCTTCCACAGTAAACCCACCTGGGTGAGTGCCAGAGCCTTTGCAGTGCTGAGCTGCATAGATATTGGAGCCTTCTCCCTTTCACTGCGGCGTGGACTCACTGTCCAGGATGGAAGCTGGGAGACTGGGCGTGGGGAAACGCTGCCCCATCCAAGGGTGGGGCTATTCATCTTTGTCCACTGGCTCCATCCCAGTGTGTGACACACAGAGGTACGTAGGAACTTTGTCAGAGGATGGGTGAAGACCAGGGAGCGGCTGTGAGCGCCTCTGTTGGAAAGTGATAAAGCAGGGAGCCAAGGTATCAGTCGTGCGGAAATGCTCAGACGGGCCTCTGCCCTTCATGCAGGAGGTCACACAGGAGGAAAGGAAAACAGCTCTCCTTTTCATTCTTTAAAGAGAAATACTTGTCCCCTTTTCTTGTCTGATGCTTAAACAGGTGGTAGTATGCTGCCTGTCCTGCTACTCTGAGCTTGCAGACTCCATGGCGTGTGGCCCCTGGCAGGCTGGACAGTCTGTTCTGTGCTTGAAGGTCTCCACCTTCGTCTTCATCAACCTAAATCTGGCAGTTGCTCCTGCACACCCCAGCACATCCCTGCTTCTGCAAGCTCGGAAGGAGGGGCATGCGGGCCATGGGAGCCCCTGAGCACCAGGAACTCCAGGTCTCTGCGGCCCATCGCTCCTTCTCTATGCCTGTCCCTACCTCCGTGCCTCCCCTTAGCCTCCTGCCCCACAAAGATGGCTGTGTGCTGAGGGACCGTGGTTGTTCGCGCTCTGGGAAATTTATCAGTGGAATTCCAGAAGGCTCTCTGAAAAGGATTTGAAGGGAAAAGTGTAGAAAATAAATAAGCCAGTTAGTCCCCAGCTCAGCCTCTCCTGAATGCCGCAAGTAAACAGCTGGCTTGGGAAGCTCTGTCTTGGCCTCTGTGCTTACACCTGGCTCACTGGCTGCCTCACCAGGTCCCTCCTTCCTGCCTCTGCCCTGTCCAGCCCCTCCTCCTTGCCTTTGGGAGCCTCAAAAGTCAGGGAACACCCCCACCTCCGGCCTGTCCTTGTGCTGCGGGACGCTGGGACGCTGGTGGCTGGGGACAACAGGAGCTTGTGCGAGAGGAGACCGCCCGAGGCTCTGGCACAGCCCCGCTCTGTCTGAGCAAGTCCCCCGGCCTCCTCCCTGCTCAGCGAGGCAGGGTGGTCTCTCTTGGTGAGTTTGACTTTGATGATGAAGAATGGTGGGGCTTTTTCCAATTTTGTGGCATCTAAGGAAGCTTTGCATCTTAATCATCAGTTCAGAGTGGATGGAGCAAAGCTGATTTTCTCCAAGGTGGGCTCACATGTGAAGAAACCCTCAAAACCCCGTTTACATTGTGGGGCTTCCTGGACTAACCAGCATGTCAAGGGCCTTTGCTTTTGAGCAGAGTTCTATCAGCTTAGGCCCTGTTTAGGGTGCTGGTGGTGTGAGTTCACAACAGTGTTTTCAAGAGGCTCAAGCGCTCTTGTAAGTTTCTCTGTCTGGGGGGGTAGGAAGTAAACTCGTGATACGTTAATACCTTCCTTTGATCCAGCTGACCCACTCTAAACCCAGTGCCCGGTAAGAAGGGAAGAACCAGGGTGCTAGGATGGGGGTAGCTCCCCGGTGGGACCTCCAGTTCAGGGCTCCACTTCAGTCACAGGGAGTGGCCGGAGGAGGGGGTGCTTCCCACTGTTGTGGCTGTGCCTGCCAGGTCAGCAAACTGAACCCCCT